CATCACACATCTATGAATGTTTGTACATGGACCTGGATAATTGTGGGTTAAAATCTGTCCATATTAATTACCTAATTTGCATAATTAACCAATTTTAAGCTTTCACACTGGTATCTAAAGTACTAATTATTTCATTTCAATGAAACTTAATTAGTTTGGGGGTAAAAATCTGTTCATATTAATTCCCTAATTAGCATAATAATTCATAATTTTTTGGTTCTAATCACATTTCAATTAAACTTGGTATATAGATTTTCTGTTACATTGTGCAGACCTCATTAGTTTTACACTCAAATCTGTTCATATTAATTTTCTGATTTGCATAATTAGTTTTCAGCTAAGTAATTTCGAATTATATTTAATGTGTCTCCAATACTCTCAGCACATGGGAGTTCTTTCTAAGCTTTCTTTGATTATCATTCATTTCAAAATCCCATTGTTGAAAGAGAGATGTTGCCACCACAGGAATAACTTCAAGAAACACAGCTAAAATTTAAATTATGATTGCTTACCAACAATTCAACAATTGAAATTATGCAAAACACAAAAATGTTTAGGAATTCACTAGGCCATCATTAGTCACGGACCATGATGTCATTGATCAAATAATATATTTTGTTTAATTGGGAAAACTGTCCTTATAATAATATGCCGTCACATTCTTTGTAAACATGGGTCTGAATGTAAATATTTCGACAATACACAGAAAGAAGTGAAAATTGTAATCATTTCAACAAATCCTACAAAGCTTTATCTTCATTAGAAGTCTACTATTGTTGATTTAAATTGTAACTGTATTTAAAAAAAATGGAGCTTGTTAAATTTCATATTCATTTTTACTGTCTTTTTTTCTATTTGCCTCAACCATGCACTCTCCTGATGGGTTAAAAATATTGCCTGTAACTGACATAAAATACTGTAAAACATATTTTTTTTTGTGAGCATGGCGTTTTAGCGAATTTAGCGAGAGAACTGATTCTCTAATTCAAGATGTTGCTAATTCAAAATGGCCAAGGCTTGGGGATTAGTATACAGTAATCAGGAACATAATGGGGCGCTTCCTAATTACACTTAACAGTTTTTTTGTCTTTATGGAGGTGATAACTGCCCATTTGTTTTGGCACGAGACAGAAAAGTATTGTGAAAACAGGAAGTTAACAATGACAAGAGAAATTGATCATTCGCTAAATCAACATTTCGCTATTACGTCATTTTACCCCAATTTGCTAAAATTGCATGTCGCTTTTTCAACATGTTTTACAGTATTCATTTCAGAATTGAGTATACTTACAAATGCAGACACAATAATGGCTGCAATTCCCAGTGGAATGAAACAACAGAATGTATGCCAAACTGCCATAACCATACCGGCAATATCCAGGCCAATCAAGGCATCAGTCCGACGCTGTTGAATCACAACCGTCTGCGGTGCCTGTGGAGCAGATACCTGGAATGAGAAAAACATTAATCTCATTTAGATTGCAAAATCATTATGTTCAAACATCACAATTTAATGTTAACAAAGCATTTCGTTGAAAAAAACCACAATTATGTTGAAAGTCTAATTCTTTGAACAAGTCATCTGAAGATGACACAGCCCCCACTTGTGAGATGTGATTATAGTTAGCTATGAATTATAAAGTTTCAATGTATATGTATAAAATCGGGTAGGAAGATTAAGTTGGAAATCAAAAGTATGTTACTCAAAGTTAACAGCTAGGATATCTCCATTAAATTTGGTAAAATTTGCATCGATTTTAACAAAAATTCACAATTAATTGAATATGGAAATTCAATTGAGTCAATATTAAATAGCAAATACATGAACTATTAGTTCACAAGATATTAACAAAAATTCAAAATTAATTAAATATTCAAATTAGCTCATTAATTAAGTTGAAAGTCAATATTGCATAGCAAATATCTTATATTGACAAATCAAGTCTCTACTAAGTTTGGTCTGATTTAGACTATTAGTTCACAAGATATTAACAAGAATTCAAATTAATAATTAAATATGCAAATGAGCTGATTAATTGATTCCTTGAAAAAATAAGTCAATGTGCATCTGTACCAATGGTCACTCTGTCACCAAGTCTCAGCAAAATTGGTCCAGGCATCTCCGAGAAAAGATGATGGACACACCCAAAAAACTGGATTTTACAGAATTTTGACATTCAAAATGGCCACCAGGCAGCCATATTGATCAAATCAGGAAATAAATTCATGTGAATATGTATACCTCCTCACTGTGTCTTTGTACCTAGTATCACTGAAATCAGTCAAGTCATCTCTGAGAAATATCAATGGGCAGACAAAAGCCATGAATAACAATCAAAATGGCTGCCATTCGGCCATACTAGTATTTGATCATTTCAAAAAAGTAAAACAACGTGCATCTGTATGGGTGGTCCTTTGTCTTTGTAACAAGTCTCAACAAAATCGGTCAAGCCATCTCAGAGAAATGACGATGGACACACAAGGGCCGAATTTGCCTGAATTTTGGCATTAAAAATGACCACCAGTCAGCCATATTTGATCGAATCAGAAAATAAATTGACGTGCACAAGTGTGGTTGACCACTATGTCCCCGTACCAAGTTTTAAAAAAATCGGCCCAGCCATCTCTGAGAAATCGCTCTGGACGGACTGACGGACTGATGAAGGCGAAATTACAAGCCCCTTCCCTGACTTTGTCAGAAGTTGAATATATAAATTACCGGGTATTCTCGCATATCTTGGCAGTAATACATTTTGTAGCTTGTGCATTACAAGCATAGCATATTTTTTATTCTTTGTTTTTAAATCATTGCAAGTACGATCTAATTATATTTACTAATAATTCCATGCACAGTATACTACACATGTGGCATATTTATATTTATTTACCAATACCTCGTCAAGTGTGACATATTTGTATTTATTTATTTACTAATAACTTGTTGCTAGAACGGCTAAAAATTTATTTATTTATTAATGGTTCAACGTACAAATTATTAGTGAATAAATAAAAATATGCCACACATGCAGGGTTATTAGTAAACAAGTCATTGTCAATGACACGTCCCCGTTCCGTTCATATTTGAGTGACATATACATTCAAAGCAGATCATGACCGAAATGCACCTGCATATGTACATTGTGCTAAATCTGAACAAAATCCATTCATGCATGACTGAGATACGGGTCCGGAATGGTGAAAATGTGCGATTTCAATGCATTTTCGGCCTTAAAGCGGCCCCCATTTGGCTATCGTTAATGAGATCATGAAACAAATGCACATACATATTTGTGACATGATGTACCTTGTGTGTGTGAAGTTTGAACTTGATCAATCCAGACATGTC